ATACACTAATAAAAATACGATAAATACAAAATTCGTGCAACATACGTGACAGCGGCTAGTATTATATAAAAAATTTGGCAGCACTTTTTTTGTACTCATAGATGAAAAAATTCCTCTCATGCATATTAATACTTCTAGATGAATCGGTTAGAGAATAGGTAAACAAAGAGATGATACAGTTTGTAACAAAAATTGAATGGCAAAAAATTTTCCATTAATAATTGCTGTATAAAAATCAAGAATTGTTGATACATACACATCTTTAATGCTAACATCATAAGAAAAACAATCGAATAATGAATCCTCAACGGCAATTGAGATTTGAAGCTCATCTTCATCTATATTCATAAATGTACAAGATTCTGCATTAGAAGTCAAGGCTCCAAAATCCTGAATGAAAATGCAGCTGTTCTGCTCAAAATTTCCTTCAAAGTCAATTCCCCTGACTGTAATCCAGTCTTCTTTCTCTGTCCAGTTTGGTAGGTTTGAACTTATTGACAAAGAATCCCTGATCAAACGACTGATCCTATCTGCCGGAGAATCAGGATTCCGGGAAGGATTCTCCGGTGCCTCCATTGAATCCCAAAAGCCGTGATCCAGTACACTGGTCGGAGATATCCTATTGAATTCTCTTACTTCTCCACTATTATCCCGCAAACCGTCGAAAAATGAGTGTTCAAGAAGTTCTCCGGCTGTCCACCGGAGTTTAGCGTCTCTTGTTAAGCACTTGCTCAAGAATTCCTTAGCCTTATTAGACAACCACCTCGGAAATTCTGGTATATCACCGGAATATCCGATTCTGTACAGAGCTGATACCAGATCATGCATCTCCGGCCACGGGGTGCATCCGGTGGCCATTTCAATAACTGTGCATCCCAGTGCCCAAATATCAGCAGGGAGTCCTTGTTCTTCACCCCGAGCAACCTCCGGTGCCATGTACACCGGTGTACCGGAGAATCTTGGTTTCCCGTCAATGGTATCATCATGTTCTTTTATCAATCTAGCACAACCAAAATCCGCGATTTTTATACCATCTTCTCCGATCAAAACATTCTGGCCCTTTATGTCTCCATGTACCACTCCATTCAAATGAAGATAATTCAATCCTCGCACCATTTGATGTGCATAAAATTGAATCATAGACTCTTCTAATGAACTCCCCTCCTTTCTGATTTTATCGGATAACGCCCCCCCGGGAACATACTCCAAGAAAAGATTGTAAATAGGCTTATTGTCCTCGCAAGTAGTATCAGAGCCTAAACACTTAATTACAAAGGGAGAGTTGAGTTGAGAAATAATAGACTGTTCTTTCTGCAAAAAGATAGAAGAAGAGAGCTCGGTGGACTTCGAGGCGAAAAGCTCACCGGAGGAAGTGGTGGCTACGGAGACGGAGGCGGAGCTGCCCCTGCCTATAATGGGACCTCTAATCCATTCCATTGGAGAGACGAGAATTTTTGAAAGTAGGTTGTATTGTTGGGTGATTTTGGCCTTGGGGGGTCTTTTATACAGAGAATCTTCTTAGTACTGTTTCTACGCGAGGTGTGTGCCGTCACGCTGCCATACATATGTTTTTACACTTTTCCTGTGAGTGAGACACGTGGCGGGAAGACAGAAGAAGTTTAACAACTTGAGCCGACCATGCCGTCCAAATGGTACACGGGAGCATCCAACGCGATATATTTATAAATGATTTATGAATCAAGCTATGTTGCTAGAGAAGGTTTGACAACCTCTCTAACAGAACATTCACTTTGGAGAGGGGGAAGCAATTTTTTTTATTTTTTTTTTCATTTTTTATTTCGTGCGGGTTTAACACGCATGTGGGTGTATGTCAACTAAGTGAAAATTATTTTTTGACACGCCAACTTAATTCATGATATAAAGAGTACAACAATCTTTAATGAATTGGAAATAACGATTTTCGCTGTCTTTCAAATACAACTATCGAAGGTTGGTCCAACAGATTCGTACACTTGTCGTTGTAAAATAGAAAAATCTGAAAACATAAGCTGACAATTAATGTTAAAGCAGGGCAAAAGCATAGGATTTCATATGGTTTTACATTGTAATGATAAAAATAGTTGTTGGATGTCCAATGATGATTAATTTCATATGACTTCAAGTTTAATTTGATTCAATTTTGAACTAATGGGACGCGTGTATCCTTCAATTTCTTTAATTTGAATTTTGATCTGACATTTAAAGCGCATCATTTGCATAGATTTGAAAATATATGATATCTAAACTCAAAAAAGGTCAAGTCCCGTTTGGTGCACATTATTTGGGAAAATAATACATTTTTTTCCATCAATTCAGCTTACAATATTTGACTTTAACACTCTAAGGTAGGATCCATGATGTGATCTTTAAAATGCATTTTTGTTGGAAAATTGTGGAACAAACGGAATGCTTAAATTTCAAAATTATTTACTCGAATAAGATACTATCTCCTCTAGATTAACAATAAAGAAGTAGTTTACTTCTCCTTATCCATTGGTTGATCTATTCAACTTATTTAATTGATCGAACCGAACTCGACATAGTTGCCACAACCATCCGTAAAGTAGATTCTATCATCCAAAAGCTAAAAGGTTGGGGTGGGTGGGGTGCTGAGGATACGATGATTTAAATGTGTAGGGTAGTGATCATTTATATATGTCACCCAATCAATGTAATCTTATTCCTGGCCTTCCTCTCTTTCAAATCAAAAGTTGTAGGCGATTCGATTCGATAGTAGCGTGAGCACTTGGGGACATTGGTTTCATAGCTGGAACCCTCGAAAAATTAGGAGGATTCAACAACCACTTACAAAAAGCTGCTTCTATCGAAACCTTCTTTTTAACTTTTAAGCTCATATATTTCCTGTATTCCTTCACTTTTCAAGTTTTTTTACCCCTTGCTTTTGCCGTTTGGTTTTAGTATGAGTTCGAAAATATTTTAAGGGTACTTCTTAATCAACAATGAACTCAAATTCACTGCAACTATGATTATTTTCTAAAAGAAAAGTTCTCAATTCAAATGTGTCCTTTCCAATTCTTTACATCTCCAATCAATTCTTCTCCTATGATAACTTCTATTGTTTTGGTTGAAAGCTAAAAATTATTGACACGGGAATAATAATAATAAGGGTTTTGTTCTAATTATGATTTTTTTTCCCTAATTGTTCCGCATCAATTATAATATTCATTATTTTCGTAAAAAAAATACATTAAATGCGACAAGTCAAGTCATCGATAGACCTAAAAATATGAAGCTTTTAGCAAGACAAAGAAACCAAGATATAGCCACAATGATCACTAGAAAGTTTTGATTAGTTTTGGCCGAGCATAGTTTGGCATTTAGGTTGCGAAGAATAAGGGTTCCAAACCCACGCCTTAATCTCAAATAGCCTTTCTTCATCAATAGTGAATTGCCCTCCATCTTCCAGCTCCCATGATTAATGGACTTTCAATATCGTAATATGATCGTTGTTTTCCCAAACAACTACAAATTAAATTTGAATAAAATAAAATACGAAATTTTGTAAAATTTGGCATAGTGCATGTAAAATATTTTTCTAAAAGAACTTGGTATTTATTTAATTTTATTATCATCTTATTAAAAATTATATCTAAAGTTAGAAGAAACAATGCCGTTTTTAATCTCATCACAAATGATGTTGATCGAATGTCATAAAACGTTAAATATTCCATTACTAAATTCAGAAGATTAAGAGAGTCCGTATAATGAGAAATTCCGCTAACAAAGTCTTCTACTATGTGACAAAAACAAGGGTGCTATCCTTTTTCGTTCTTGATTGTGAATTTCTAACAGCACGTGTTTTCCTTTCCCTCAAAAGTTAATATTTAATATTCTCATAAGCCATCTCGTAAGTTTTCCTTAATTTGGGTGTTATTTTCTGAAATCCCAGAACACTGACTGAGAGTTTTATTCGTATATTATCAATCAAGATTCAAGATAAATATATATTAAATCGAGAAGTGGAAAGACATTATAACAATTTCCCAATCTACATTTATAGAAGGGCATCAACATTAAAATTAGTAAAATATTGAGATATCGACCATAATTTTTCATCAATATTATAATTGATTCCTGTCTGGTTGAAAGAGGATTAGTTTTATCTTGTCCAAGTCCAATTTATTTTCGTTAAATATTCGACACAAAAATAATTTTTCATATGAGTAACAGTAAAACTTAAGCTCTAAAAAGTTTGTAACCAGCGGAAGATGGAGAAGGATCCTAGAAAGCTGTCCATTAGTTCAACTCGAGTTGTCTTCTTACTCATCCTCTCTTTTCTCTTTCTTGATTTCTTCTGTGGAAATATTATCCCATTTGATCAATGTAAGTCTACCATTTTACCATCTTCTACAAGCTTAATTCTTCAACATGGTGAAGATATCTTTAAAAATGGCAGGGATTCAATACTACGAAACTACTTTCACCAGCCGAGGGATCAGCAATGACACAGTTCAACAAGAGCACGAGTCCTTGAAATTTCTTCTTTCAAGAGTAGTGACTGGTGAGTAATACTGAACTAACTCGTTCCAGCAAATTCCTCACGATTCAATTTTTGCGCCAAATGTGTATGATGTGTACAATTTTTTCGTAAGACTTTTAAGAAACTAAATTGATACACGTAAACAGGGGAAGATCGAAAGAAGCTTCAAGTCACTGGATTTGCTTGCCATACGACTAAGGACTCGGCTCATTGTGTTACAAATTGTTTTGCGCAGGTTAGTCGTTAACAATTAAAAGAGATCAGACTATTGTGTAAGGGACAAACCTCTTGAGACAAAGTCCCAAAAAGAAGTGTTCTTTTATTGGCGATGACTTTACAATTGAAAATTAAAAACAAAGTGCCTCCAAGGGGCGCAAGTACACGAGTTACTAAACAAAGCGTTTAAGTCTAAACTAAGGAAATTAAAATTACATGTTCTCTGTTCGAGAGTTTTTGATTTGGTCCTTTACTCTATGTCTTTTCTCCCTTTTATATTTCATGGACGATCTCTTTGTGATCAACCGCCTAAAAACTGCTTGATCGTCCTATAATTGCCCACTTTCCTCGTAATAACCAACTTGTCATGAAAACTGTATTTTTTAACTGCTGCCATTACTTTTCGTCGTTCAACCGCTTTCGATTGAATTCCTTGAATCGTGGAACGTGATATGGCTGCTTTAATAACTGTTTTGATAACTGCACTTCTTGATAACCACAACGCTTTATGTTTGTTAAGACCTTGGGCAATTTGAAGGTTTGGGCGAGAATAGAGTAACAGCTCTGGGCGACTGTATGGCACTCCATTCGCTCAGATTTTGGGCGACTTGCAAACTTGGGCGATGGTGTTACTGCGTTCTTGGGCCTCCCTATTTGGGTCTTCATCTTGATTTGTTTGATTGGGCTTCGTTCTTTGGGCTATCTGATTTGGGGATCCTCCAATTGGGCTTCACTCATTAGGCCGTTCGATTTGGGTTGAATTTTTATGTGTCAACACAAATCAACCTGTTAGGATTAACACACGCACAATGACAGTACATATTGCATCTCATCAACCTGTACAAGAAACCGTGGTTCGACCATATGCAAGGCAAGAAGATCATAATCTTCTCAAAAACGTCACGCCAGTAAAGATACTACAGATATATATTACAATGCCACCGGCTTGCCAATACATTCACGGTGTCCCTGCTGTAATCTTCTCGTCCAGTGGCTTTGTGGGAAACTTTTTCCACGAATTCAACGAAATTATCATACCTCTTTTTATTACGACTAGCCATTTGAGATCGCGGGTGCAATTTATCCTTGAGGATTACAAGGCCTCATTTGTAAGGAAATATAGCAAACCTATGTCACAATTGTCTGCTTACGAGGTGATTAATCCAGTTGCAGATACAAGTGTTCACTGTTTTCCAGGAGCAATAATTGGGCTTAAATTTCAAGGCCATTTGGCTTTGAATTCCAGCGACACCCCTGGTGGGTATTCGTTTCAGGATTTCAAACAGTTTCTTAGACAAACATATAATCTCAAGTTCGCCCACGTATCAGAAATCAGAAGGCCGAATTTAGTGCTGGTATCTCGCAGAAAAACTAGAAGGTTCCTAAACGAAGATGAAATGGTTTCCACGATGGAAGAATTAGGCTTTCGAGTAATTATTGTTGCAAGAAATAATGTGTTATCAAACTTAAACAAATTAGCGCGTATAATAAACTCATGCAGAGTCTTCGTGGGAGCTCACGGAGCCGGCCTTACGAATGAGTTGTTCTTGCCTGCTGGTGCAGTTATGGTGCAAGTAGATCTAATCGGCCTGGAATGGCCTGCAAAGGCCTATTATGGCGATCCAGCCCGTGCAATGGACGTGCACTATTTGCCATACAGGATCGAACCTGAGGAGAGCTCACTTTTGAAAGTTTTCGGACGAAATCATACAGTGTTTAAGGACCCTAAATCCTTCAGTTCTGAAGTAGGCAGGGAGATATATCTTAACAATCAGAACGTAAGGATTAATCTTGCAAGGTTCAGGGAGACAATGGTTGAAGCACTTAGTATTGTTGAAGACACGGATGTATAATTTTGAGTAATTAGTCATTCTCATTGCTTACATAAAGGAAAAGCTTGTAGAAAATACAGATGAACTTATTTATTTCACATCCTGTTCAAAAATCAAAGAAAGAGAGAACGAAAAATAAAAACAATAATGAAGTTCAAATAGTATCCTAAGCAAAAAGAGTCGATGCTCATATGTAACTCACTTCCTTGCAAAACTTACATTTGCCATGTTGCTTTCACTGGCATCTTTTGGAGAGTTTTCACTGTCAATTCCAGTATTTGGGTTTATATTGCCAATGAGGGAACCTAAGGCTTCTGCTAAGGCTGAAGTAAAATTTGGATCCGAGGCAATGGCAGCAGTAGCTGCATTCATCATGTTGTGAGAGCTTTCACTACTAACAGATGCGGCATCAGAGACTCGGTTGAGAAATCTCGAATGGTTGTAAAGAGCCTGGGCAATGGCCTGTGGCCCTTGGAGTATTTGCAAGTGTGAATGGGTGGTGGGAGTGTTTGTGAGATCCAATATAACAGTAGGGAATGGTGCTGAAGGTGAAATTGAAGCTAAATTTGCTGTGTAAGGAAGAATAGTTCTAGTAAGCACGTTAGGGTTCATGAATCCATCGGCACTTGGCATTGGTCCTGATAGCAACATTGATGCGGCTGCGGAGGTGGTGGAGGCCATCGCCATGGCGGATGAGGGCAGCGGATGGTTGTGATTGCCTTGGTAAGTGGTTATAAGTACCGAACGATCTTCTACGCACCTTTGCACCTGTCACATAAACATAGCCTTGTGTAATTTACTATAATACCCGCATCCAAATTTCCGAGTCTAATTATCAAAAATTGAAAATTTAGGGGCTCATTTGAGGGTTAATCCACCTTCTAGGACCTTGTAGCAAACTTACCATAAGTGTTAATTTCCACATGTTTTTGATTAAATTCTTGGTCAAATACTTACATAGAGAATTCTTAATTTATACTTGATTGACCAAACATAAGGTAAAATTCTTGATTTATGCTTGATTGACCAAACATTAGGTAATGTGTAGTGTGAATGCATAAATGTAGGAATGATGGAGAGATTCTTGCTCATTTCACAAATTTCAAGGAACAGTTTCCACCATCATGAATTTTTCCTTAAAGACGTATGCCTAATCTTGTCCTACTTAAACTCATCATTCACATTCACATGCTACCACTCACTATTATAGTTTTTGGCCCAAATAATATACACATACACTTTCATAAGTTGAGGTGGAAATTGTAGAGGGATCAAGTCTCTATTATTCTTTCATTCAAATTTCACTGTAAATACGTTGCTTATGTTGAATTATTGTTATGTTATGAATTTCAAGAAAATTATTAT